AAAATTATTTTTTAGTTTGTTTTTGTAGACGGTGGTTAATGCGTTGCCACATCTTATTGCTTTACAAGTCATGCTGGTTTTTGTAAGGCATTTTATAAAACCATCTTTCTCGTGACAACATTCATCATCGGTCACAATATCCAGCGGTCAATATGCTGGTGGTAGGGTACAGAGGCATCCCTGTGCACCTCCTTCTGCACCAGTAAATTTCATCCACTAACACATACTTCTCCACTCAAGAACCGCATCACCCGAGGCCCACGCTAAACAAATTTGGAAATTCGACTTTACTTATTTTTGTGGTACTTGTGCCCGTCCTTCTAATGCTGTTCTGGAAACATAAAACTCATTTAAAAAATTGTCACTAGTGGAGTACCTAAAAAAAATGACCAATCTATTGTTCTTGTGAACAATCACCTGAGAGAAATTCAGAGGACAGTTAATTTAACATGCATGTTTTTTGTAAGAACATGTATAGACAAAACCAAAGAAGAGAGACAACAACTAAATTCCTCAAAGAAAGGCCAAGCTAAAATATAAACTCAGGATCTGGTTATCTCTGTGGCAGAAATCCAAAATTGTGACACAATACACATTTAAGCCATCTCTGAGTTTTGCTTCCTTTACTACTGAGTGCAGCTGACACTATCAGTCTATCCTCCTCAGGAGATTTTCTTCCATCAGTACTATTAGAGCACCCCCAGCCAGTTTTAACTCATATCTCTTAGGGTTCAACCAGCTCAAGTTGTTAGGATTGCAACTTTCCCTTGACAATATTTTCCACAAATTTAACATCCACTTTCATTCTGTTGTCAAAGACACCCAGGTTTACCTCTTCAAAAAACCTAACTTCACCCTCCCACCCTCATCTCTTACCAATTGTTAATCAGAAATAAAGTCCTGGTTCACCTCAAACTTTTTTATTTTTATTTTATTTCCATTGATTGATGATGGCAAGCAATTAAATGAACGTTACAAACCTCATGGTATGCACCCACGATAATTTATTACTTAAATGTAGCATAAAACACAACACAAACACAACATATTTTAATATGTTGTGTTTGTGTTTGTTATGATGTAAAGCACTTTGAAATGCCTTGTTGCTGAAATGTGCTATACAAATAAAATTTGATTGATTAATAAGACAATAGTTATAAACAGAAAGAATATCTATGATAAATACAGAAAATCCATAAATAACTTGATCATACAGTTAAAAATATCAGGATAAATTCAGCAAAACCCTCTACATAAGTGTATGGTGTGAGCAGCAAGAATCAGATTAAGCGTATATATAAGGAAAGTGAATCATCAAAGCCATTATGACTGACATGAGACTGACTTTGTTCAGAAAGGCAGAGGAGGTGGTAGTAGATACTGTCGTGCTGGTTGTTGGTGCAGCTGTGGTCGGTGCGGCTGTGGTCGTTGGTGCAGCTGTGGTCGGTGCGGCTGTGGTCGTTGGTGCAGCTGTGGT